TTTTGACGTTTATTGTAAATGGTTCTACCGTTGAAATAAATATATAAATAATTGTGTGGTCATTATAATAAAATAAAACATCATAACGTGGAATAATTTTTATTAAACATTAATTACATGCAACTAAACAATCTAAAAGTGCTTGTTCGTTTCATATTATTCTTTTCTTATTTTAGCTTTGATAGCATCGTATAAAATGAGAATGCCACTTTTGTAACCTAAAAGTTAAAATTGGTTTGTCAAACTAATGAAAATATGTAAATTTAAGAAATTTTTCTACATTGCAAATTGTTAAGACTGGAAAAATGTTGTTCGTGTATAAATATAGGTAATTTGTAACAATTTGTATTTGTACAACATAAACTTTTCTTGTATAACTTTAACTCAATTTATGTATACAGCTGATGACAGATAAAATATTTAACCATTAACATATTTTTAAAAACGATAATCGGAAATGATTCAATATAATAAGTGGAAACAGCAATTTAATATTAATTGCCTAATGTAATTATAGTTGCTAATTGTCAACCGAAAATATAAATCGGGGAACATCAAAAGAAGTGTATTTATAAGCCTCTGAATTCAAACTGATGGCTTCTTCTTCTTAACGTGCCCTATCAAGTCTCCTTGACGTTGGCGATTAACATGGCGAAACTGTCTCTGTCTCGAGCTATTCTAAATAGTTGCTCAGCTTTCTTTATTCCTGTCCACTCCCTGATATTCTTCAACCAAGAGGCAATCTTTCTACCAATTCCTCTGCGTCCCTCGATTTTACCCATCATAATAAATTAAAGAATATTATATCGGTCTCCCCTTACTACGTGTCCAAAATAGGCCATCTTTCTACATTTGATGTTATCAAGCAGCTCGCGAATAGCATTTGCTCTCTCAAGGACTGCCACATTTGTCAGCATAGCCGTCCATGGAATTTTTAGTATACGTCTGTGCAGCCACATTTCAAAGGCCTCCAGATGATTAATGGTGGATATTTTTAATGTCTATGCTTCGAGACCGTATGAGAGGACTGACCAAATGTAGCATTTAAACAAGCGCTTTCGAAGTTGATGGCTACAAAATAAATATTCTAAGAATCAAAGGAAAATTCTATCTATCTATCTATCAATATAAGGATTTTTACAGCTGTCGCCGCCTTCTTTCTTTTAGCCAACGTCTCCAGTCCTTTCGTTCTGCCATTATCCATCTCTAAGGTCTCGTCTTTTCATGGCCTCGTCCACTTCATCCCTCCATGATCTTCGTGGTCTACCTCTTATCACCCTTTCTATTATGCTTTAATCCGAAATATTTGAAATCCACCTTGTATGATCTGTTCTTCTCACACGTCCATAATATATTGAACGTTTTTCTTCGATATAGCTGAGTATGTCTTGTTCTACTGCAATTCTTCGTTTTATCTCCTCATTTCTGATGCGATCCATTTTTGTCTCTCTGTAGCTTCTTCTCATGAACTTCGTTTCAGTTGTTATGATTTTGGACCCAATTCTTTGCTCCATAGGTCATTATACTGCTTACCAAGGTGCTATAAATTCTCTTCTTTGTATTTCTGGTAATCTGTCTATCCCACAGTACCCCTGTTCATTTGTTTAATACATGTTCTTGTCTGTGCTAATCTGCTGGTTATCTCTTGCTCGGTGGTTCCATTTTTTTGGAAATATGAATTTTAAATATTTGTATTTTTCAGTGCTATTTATTTCCCTATCATCGTCCATTTCCAAGTTTCTCACTGGTTCTTGCTCTGTGGTTTCTTTTCTAGGTTTATTTACAGTCCATTTTTTGTGTATTCCTTTTCTAATGTTCATCTTAAGCCGTTACCACTTGGTCATCTGCAAAGCTTAATGTGTACAAGAAATTGTCCCGGATTGGTATTTCCTACCCCTTCACATTTCCTTTTCTATGGTTTTAATATTTGTTCGAGGAATATCTTGAACAGTGTCGGAGATGTAAAGCATCTCTGCAATAAGCCTTTTGTGGTCTTAAATTCGTTGGAGTATTTATTGCCGGTAAGACCGCTAAAAAACAAGACAACAAAGGACAAATGGTACATAGAAAAATTAAATGCTACAGATAGAAGAATTAAATATGCAGAAGATATAAGCAAAAAACTGAAGGAATACTTTGAACATACAGAGGATGTTGAAACAGAATGGAGCAATATAAAAAAATGTATAAATGAAACAGCTTCTGAACATGTAGGGATAGAGAGAAAGAACAAAAAAGAAGAATGGTATAATCAAGACTGTCATAACATGTTAAAAAAGAATATAGAAATAAGACAAAGGTGGATCAGAACAAATAGACAAGAATATAAAGAAGAATACAACAAATTAAGGACAGAATGTAAGAAACAAATAAGAAAAATTTAACGAACCTGGTTAAATGATAAGATAAATGAAATAGAAAAAGAAAACACAAATATAAACACAACAGCACTTTATAAGAAAATTAGCGAACAGAACAAAACCTTCAAAGGAAAGATAAAAGTCATAAAGGATAGAAATGGAAAAGTATCAGAAAATGACAAAGAGATTAAAGAAATCTGGACTGATTATTTTAAAGAATTATTAACAGTACAAGAGGACGAAGACTTAAATGAAAATGTGTAAGGAGAGACCACGATGATAGAAACCGAGCTAGAAAAACCAACCAGAGATGAAGTTGAGGAAATTATAAACAGTAGTCGCAACGGTAAAGCACCAGGTATAGACGGTATAAACATGGAACTAATAAAATATGGTGGACATGAACTCAGAGAAAAAATATACCAATTAATAAAAGTCATATGGGACGAAGAAAAGATGCCAGAAGAATGGCACAAAGAACAAATTATCACAATCCATAAAAAAAGAGACCAACAAATGTGTAATAATTATAGGGGACTGACATTATTAAACACAGCGTATAAAATCATGTCAACCTTAATACAACGAAGACTGGCCAAAGCGACAAAAAATATCATGGGACAGTATCAATGCGGATTTATTAGGGGAAAGTCAACAACAGATGCCATACATATGCTAAAGCAAATGATGGAGAAATCTTATGGATATAAAATAGAAATTAAACTGCTTTTTATAGACTTACAACAAGCATTTGATTCAATAAACAGAGCGAAATTACTTACAGCTATGAGAGAAATAAGAATACACAACAAATTAAGACGATCAATAAAAATGACAATGAGCAAAACCGTAGTAACTGTAAAAACACAAGAAGGAGATACAGAAAAATTTGTTATAAAAAATAAAGGTGTACGTCAAGGAGATTCATTATCTGCAACTCTGTTTAATCTTGCCCTGGAATATATAGTCAGAAAAATCAACAAAGTTACACTTAGAATGAGAGAGGGACAAATAATAGCATATGCCGACGATATTGTGATAATAACAAAGAACAGAAAAAAAATGGAAAGTATGTTAAAAGAATTGGTAGCAGAAGGGAAAGTAATGGGATTAGTAATAAGTCAAGAAAAAACAAAAATAATGAGATTTGACAAAAAATATGAAAACAAAATGGTTAGACTGGGAGAATATATATTTGAAGAAGTAGAAAAGTTTAAGTATTTGGGAATATTATTAGCAAACAATTGAGAAAGGAAAACAGAAATTAAAGAAAGGATAATTACAGCAAATAAGACATACTATGCAAATAAAAACTTATAAAAAATAAATTACTGAGCAAAAAATCGAAAATGAAAATATATAAAACAATAATTCGACCGACTATGATGTATGCTGCCGAAACCCTTAGCATGACAAAAAAAAACAAGAGGAAGACCTTAGAATACTAGAAAGGAAAATACTAAGAGCAATATAAGGACCAATAAAAATTAATGAAAACCAATATAGACAAAGAACGAATCATGAACTACTAAACGAAATTAAAGAGGATATAGTTTGTAAAATAAAACAGCAAAGGGCAAAATGGCTAGGACATATATGGAGATCAGGACCATCTACGACAATATTCTCAATATTGGAATAGACACCAGCTGGTAAACGAAGACGTGGAAGACCAAGATCTACATGGCTACAAGAAGTAACAAACGATCTGAACAGGGCGGGCGTACGACAATGGAGAGAAAAAACCAGAGATAGGAAACAGTGGAGAAAAATAACAAGAAAAATTAAATATAGAAAATAAGGACTGATCTACCTCATAAAATAGATCTAGAGAGCTTAAGCGGCGTAACCCCGTACGGGGTGTTTAGCCACAATATATATATTTATTGCCGGTTCTAACTCTTACTTTGTTGTTGTAAAGGTTTTTTACGGCTTCTATTAACCTCTGAGTTATTCCGATTTTCTTCATCGTGTTCCATAGTTGTTTTCTGGGAACTGTGTCATATGCCTTTCTTAAATCTATGAATGCTATGTGTCCTGGTGTATTTTTTGTCATTTTTTATAATTAATTGTTGGAGTGTATATATGTGGTCTATGCCAGATCTTCCTGCCGTGAACCCCTCCTGATCTTCTCCGATTTTATTTGAGATAGATTTTTCCCGTTTTTCTTTCAGTATTTTTGCATATAACCTGCCCATACATGCTATCACACAGATAAAGTAGTAGTAGTAGGAAAGGAAGTAGTAAACTCTGTAGTAAAGGAAAATTCTTTAATCTGAATATAAAAAAAAATATGAAAAAAAGACCAATTTTAAAAACAATTGGAATATGTTAATCCATGATAAACAATGTCGCTATCAAACACACATCGTTATTTATATTGCTTGCTAGCACCTACTTCCCACACAAAACATAAATAGAAACATAAGGAGAATAGATAAGGATGTGGATAAGGATGCCAGAAAAATCAGTGTAGTAACCTAGCAGAAACTATAAAGAATGCTACTAAATAGAAAATAAGTTGAAAAAGGTTAAGGCTCATTTAGATTCGTATCATCAAGGCTGATGATGCTGATGAAATTAATTCACATTGCCTTTTTGAAGACTACAAATTATATTATTTTTAACTAGCATACTCACCTTAATAAACGACACCATATGCATGTCATAGACGTTATAAGCATTAAACTGTGGTATTCTTTGCGAATTTTGTAATAAAAATACAAAATCTTTTCTTAATTCTTCATCTTCCAAGGTCCTCCAGTTACTATGAAATATAGCATCTGGCAAGAGACTTGCCTAACAAAGAAAGTTATTGTATTAATGTTATTTTCAAGAGCTTGTCACAAAGTTGTGACACATGAACAAAAATTATAAAACATAAATACAAAAGTAAATTTTGCATCCAAACCAGTTAAATGTTCAAAAATGGTAACGAATGGATTAAACTAATAAACAAAGTCCAAATAAGCAAATAACATTACCTAGCAAGTCGTACATATTTTTTCGTATTATTTTATTAACAATATAACCTTCTTGCATTATTTTATTGACGGTATAACATTTTTGCTTATAACTTTGAACTATACAACATATACCAGGATCCGGATATCATAACATTCATTAAAATAGGAAGGCTACGTTGGATTGGACATGTGGAAAGAATGGAAGAAGCCGAAATACCAAACAAAATATTCAAACAAGTGCCAGTAGAAAAAAGAACAAGAGGAAGACCGAAGCTGAGATACGTAGAACAAATAGAAAATGATATAACAACATTAAAAATTAAAAACTGGAAAAAAAGCACGAAACAGGTCAGAATGGAGAAGAATCCTTGAACAGGCCAAGACCCAAAAAGGGTTGTCGAGCTAGTGATGATGATGATGATAACATTTTTGCATTATTCTATTGACAGTGTAACTCGTTTGCCTTATTTTATTGACAATATATCTTTTTTTTTTTCATTATATAGGTAAGCATGTTGATGTTTTCAAACGATTTTAGTCCTGAAGTTTCCTTGAACTTAGCATTTCCTGTTTTCTTTTAGGTCAATTTACTTTCTGGGACAATGATTTAAAAAAAGAAGAATCCAGTGAATACGTTGGTACTGCATAATGGTGTTTATATAACTACAACACATTGCAAGGATACCAAAAATGTAAGATTAGCGTCTACCTACGTTGGGGTTCATCCATTCTCATCTATACTTTCAAAAGAGTCACGCAGAAAGATTGCCAGATATGACAGAACAAAGAAGAAATATTTAGAGCTTCATTGTCCGAATATTATTAAAGGAATATTATGTCCACATTTATTCTTCTTCTTCTTGTTCTGGTTCCTATCCGTTTCGGATGTTGGAAATCATATTGGCAATCATAACCTTGCTCGCTGCGGCTCGAAACAGCTCCGTTGAGGTTTTCTTAAACCATGTTCTTAAATTCCGCAGCCATGATATTCTCCTTCTACCGGGTCCTCGCTTACCTTTGACTTGACCTTGCAATATAGACTGTAGCAGGGAGTAACAGTGCTGATATTGCAATTTTATGCGTTTGATCGTAAACACAATCTCTGGTTCCTTCTTCATTTTTTCCTAGAACTTCCTTGTTCGTGATCCTTGCTGTCCATGATATTCTCAGGATATGCTTCAAGTTTTTAATAGTGGTGTTTGTAAGCGTCCATGCCTCCGTCCCATACAACAATAAATGTCTCATTTTTGTATCAAGGGATATGTTGTGACTTTTGAAGATGTTTTATGTGACATTTATTATTACTCTGTTCTATATTATACGTAGTCTCTCTCTATAACGATTCCCTATATAACGATAATTCCTCTATAACGATGAAAATAGTAAACTTTGGTTGGTTCGTCATAAGAACAATGTATTAATTCTTTCTCTATACCGATATCGTTCTCTCTTTATAGCGATAACTTTTTTAGCGTTCAATAGTTGATGATAAATGTGTTATTGTATTTAAAGTTCAGACTACCTGAGTCACGAATGAAAAGATCATTGTTCAGCGGTTGTTTTGTTTTGCGTTTGAGGAATGCGGCATACACTCTTTCTTATCAGAGGGTTAAGTGACGTTTATTGTTCGGGCGGCGTAATTAACTGTTATCACACAGATGTTATCTATTGACGACTTTTAATTTCCAGTTTGAGTTGCGTCTTAGTGTGCCAACAGTCAACATGTTTTCAAAAAAGCGTAAAGTGCTCTCGGTGGAGGAAAAACTATCGATAACTCGAGCAATAGAGAAAGGTGAAAAGCAATCGGATGTCGTTCGCCGGACGGGGCTGTCTCAGTCAACTATGGCTACGATATGGAAGGACAGAAAAAAGTGGCTTAAAGCGGAGATGGAGGGCGGTAGCAGGAAGAAGTTGCGGAAACCTCAGCACGAAACTACGGCCAAATCAGCGGAGAGGCTCGCGATGTTAACAAAAACGTAACGGATCATTGGCTAGAAAACGTGTGGCCTGGACTGAAGGCACGATATGCGTCAAACGAGATTTTCAATGCGGATGAGACTGGATTGTTTTTTAAAATGACACCCAACAGAACTTTAAAATTTAAATTGGAAAAGTGCGTTGGTGGAAAGCTCTCTAAGGAACGCATTACAGTTTTAGTAGCCGCTAACATGACAGGTTCGGTGAAGCGAAAATTGTTAGTGATAGGGAAGTCGAAAAACCCGCGTTGCTTTAAAAACATAAAAAATCTACCGGTGACATATAAAGCAAACAAGAGTGCGTGGATGACCTCGGAAATTTTTGAAGAAGCGATAAGAAAGTGGGATATCGAGCTTAAAGGGAAAAAAATTATTTTGCTTGTAGACAATTGTCCTGCTCATCCTGTATTGCACGACCTTCAAAACATCAAACTCTGTTTTCTGCCAGCAAACACAACGAGTGTCCTTCAGCCCATAAACCAAAGTGTCATCAAGAGTTTAAAAAACCATTACAGGAGAAGACTTTTGATGGAATTGGTTGAGAATAATGGCGATCTTAAACTAAACATTCTTAACGCCATCCTAATGATTAGTAAATCCTGGGACGAGGTGACGAGTAATACAATACAACATTCCTTCAAACACGCAGGATGGCTGAAAGATCAAGGATTGGCTTATGATGAAGATGACCTGCCATTAGATGTTTGGGCCAGACAGTTTGAATTTACTATCACCTACGGACCGGAAGAGCTAACAGATTTTGAAGAAGTTGATAAAAATGTAGCTACAACATCTGGACTTTCTGACGAGGACATCCTGCAAGCAGTTCTTGTAGAAGAAGAAGAAAACAGTGACTCTGAAGTGGAAGCAGAGTCAGAACCAGCTCCGACCCTCAGCAGGCATTGGATGCGGCAAAAGTACTGCATCGATTTTTCATCCACCAGGAAGACGATGTGAGTGCTGTAGAAGATTCGATGCGTCTTCAGCACAAGGTCAGGTCAGTTCTGTGGAAAGGGAAAAGAAGACAGACCAAGGTGACAGATTTTTTTGATAATGTAGGCTAAATATATTTTACAGTGGCATTTTATTTTTTTTTTGTACAGTACACATGTTTTAATTGCACAGTCATTTTTTATACTGTATTGCTTATATTATTCGTTAATAAATCTATGTGGAATACAATGTTAAGTCATTTATATTTGTTTTGATAATTTTTTTAAATTAAAATAGGTTATTTAGTCCAGTATTATTAATATTACAGTACCGAATTTTGTCTCTCTCTGTATAACGATCTCTCCTTATAACGATGAAAATTCCCGGTCCCTTGCATATCGTTATAGAGAGAGAGGACTGTATTTTATTTTTAGAGTCCAATTGCCACATAGACGTAGTAAATTTATTAGGCAACTTTCTTGGTCGATATCACATCCTCCAAAGACAGAAAGTACTTTACTATGTATTTTTTATCACTTTATTAATATGACGACTGGTAAATTAATACCTTCTTCACCGTAGAATTCATGAGAAGACTGTAATTCAGAACCTTCCAAATTTTCGGAATTCAGTGGCTGATGTACTCTGCAAATATCAGGTAAATCCTAAGTGGAAACAAGTAAGTAGACCATCTCTAAAAGCACTGCAACTATCAGCAACTGGTGGAAGGAAAACATATCTACCAGCAGATAATACCAATTGCTGGCTGGCCAACTTTTCTTGATAGAATGGGTAAAGAAAACATGCCAGCTAGCTGGCTACAAATCAGAAACTCAAGTGTTTTGTTGTAAATGTCAAGTTAATTTATGTTTTTCTTCAACAAATAATTGTTTTCTTGCTTTTCACAAAAGCAACTAATTTTCCATTTTCACTTACTTATCAGTCAAAAAAAATATTATTTTTAGCTGTTTTATGTCAACACCTATCAAGCTAATTGATGGATTCGACAGAATTAAATATCATTAAGCAAATAGTAATAAACAACGGATACAACGAACAAACAATTAATAAAATGCCAAATCAAAAACTACACAAGAAAGCCCTGAAATTAGTATTTCCACCATCAGAGAAAAACCCAGTACCTTCTGCTCGATTACATATACAGGCAAAATATCAAAAAAAATAGCCAAAACACATAAAAAAGAAAAGAATACCACCAGCTGTTCGAACAAATAACAACCTAGGCCTTTCAGTAATAAAGGGCTTCCAATAATAGAAAAAGAGACTGTACATTTGTATACACGCACTTCACCTTGTAGATCACAATCATTCTTTTAATGACGAATTTAAAATTCTTCACATTTAAAATAAAAGCCTTAAGCTATCCTAGTTAGAATCTATGGAAATTAACAAATTGAAAAACACAGATTTAATTCTATTTAACCAACTTGAGACAAACAGTTCTCCCCTCCTCAACCTATATCATTAGAGACTATAAAGTGTAAACGCATGCCAAAAAGGGATAACTTGAGAAAGACAATCAGCCGAAACAGCTGTAGTGATAAGAGGTTAAAATAAATTTTTTGGAAGTTTAAAAACAAAGTTTTCAGTGTTTTATTGTTACCTATTAAGCTGTGAATTTTTCCATTAAAAATAAAATTGGCCTGGTAGAGGGTTAATAGGAGTAACGTTTTACAATAAAAATTATAAATAAACCTATTTTTTATAATTTAATTTAAGTATGAACCCCCTCTGTGGCTCAGTGGTAAGAGCGCCTACCTTTGAACCTAAAGGTCGTGAGTTCGAATCTCACCTGGGTGGAAATTTTCGTTTATTAAAAATTAATGAATGAAAATAATTTTTATCCTTGTGCGATCGGTACTCACCGGAGGGACCGCAGACGTTCGGATACAAATAGCGTCTCTTAGCAAAGACAATGACGTCGACTTTGCTAAGTATCAAGACATTTACTCTACACACCCACACACACTACACACATGACTGTAAAAATTCACTGTACCATGCCAATGACCATTAGTTGTCGACGCATTAAAATCAATAAAAAAAAAATTTAAGTATGAACGAAATTAAGGCATTTTCTTCGATTTCAGATTGCACTCAGATATCCTTTATTTATCATTTGTTGTGTTGAGAAATATAAAGTTTAGATTACATTAGTTTTAATATTCAGCTACATTTCAGTTTATTTAAAGACTGTAACTTGTGCTTTTATTTATAGTTTACTGATGACAATATGGTCATATGTTACTATTTGTTTAAATTTGGAAGGCTAAGCAATTGGATAAACTTAGTTTTTGAGACGTACTATAAAATACTATTATTTTATTGATGATATAACTTAAAGTTATTATATTAAAGTTATAATTTTTCTTTTAGCTTAGTGATAAATATGTCCATTTTAATAGTCTTTAATTTTAGCAGCAGTTAGTTTCCAGTATTTAGTATTTTTTGTTTTCCTATTATCAAATTATTATCTTTTTGATCAAATATATTCTTACCCTTCCCCTTCCCCCTAATGAAGCCGCCGATTTGAGCAACGAGAACTTTGTAAAGTATCTATCAACGATCTTAAATAGCTAGTTTTCATTAAATATTTAGTTTCTGCTTTGACTACTTACTTGATGGTAAAGATATGTTCCAAAGAAACAGTCGATAAATAGCTGCATTGAAAACCCAATTAAATATATGAAACTTACTGCTTGTTCTGCAACACTACCTAAAGATTCCTAAAATTAAAAGATTATTTATAAATAAGTAATCTTATTAAATTTCAAATTCAAATTAGATTTCAAATAAATTCAAAAGTTTATCCGAAACACTAGAGCAGGGGTGCTCAAACGGTCGATTGCGATCGACTGGTTGATCGCGAGTGCTTTTTGGGTAGATCTCGAGAAGAAAAAAATTTTAATAAGTAGGTATTTAACTAAACTACTGTCAGCAGAGTTAAACGTTTTTATTAATACTGAACTATACAAATACATATAATGCTTGACTAAGCATCATTGCAATTCAAAGAAGTGGGGACAACAAAATACTGTCCACGCAGCATATTTTATATTTACATATATTAACTAATTATTTTATTGATTCAATATTTATTATAAATTATTAATCAAATTTGGGATGATATTCTATCAACTACAAAAATGTATTATGTAATAAAATAACACTGCTTGCGGCAAAAGGTGGCTTTATCAAAGGAACGAGGGCACTTGTCAAAGAAAAGCCGTGTTGTTTCTAGACGAGAGACAGTACAGTCTAGTTTCGGGCGGCGCGTTTGACGGGAACATTCAAGACTTTCGTTCACGCCGATATAAATGTTGTGCCTGCAGGAATTGGAGTTATTCTGAATTGTAACTTGATAGCGATCATACGTCGATACAAAGTTTATTATTAAATAGTGGAAAATGAGTGCAGTGAAGAAATCTAAAACGTATCATTTTAATAAGGATTGGGAGAAAGAATTTTTCTTTTCTATGGTGAAGGATAAGTGCATTTGTGTTATTTGTCGTGCGTCAGTTGCAATACCTAAGCGTGGTAACTTAGAGATGCATCATAAAACAGTTCATAAAAACTATGAAAAGGATTTTCCGCCACAGAGTGAATTAAGAAAACGAAAAGTAAGTGATTTGATATCTTGTTTGAAAAAAGAACAATTCATGTTCACAAGACCAGCCAAACAATCAAAAGCTGCTACGATCGCGTCATTTAAAATATCTCATATATTTTCGCGAAACACAAGAAACCATTTGAAGATGGATCGGTGGTGAAGGAAGAATTTATTGAAGCGGGTGAGACTTTATTTGGAGATTTTAAAAATAAAACAGAAATCAGATCTGCTATTAGAGAACTTCAGTTATCTCGTCCGACTGTCACAAGGCGTATTGAAGTCATGAGTCAAGACATCGCAGATAAACTAAAACATGGAATGTACATACTTTTCTTTACAGTTCGACGAATCCATCGATATGACAGACACTGCCCAGCTGTGTATTTTTATTCTGATGGTATTCAGTGACATGTTGGCTAAGGAAGAATTTTTGACAATCATTCCTCTGAAGGGGAAGACCCGTGGCGAAGATATATATGACGTTTTCATTTTATTATGAATCAGATATATATGACTCAATTTTATTATGAAATTTTGTAAAAAACTACGAGCTACCAATATATAAATTAATGTGCATTACAACCTATGGAGCACCAGCAATGACTGGAAACAAAAACGGTTTTGTGGCATTGTGTCGAGCTAATGAAGAATTTCCTTCATTTTTTCATTCCATTACATTATACATCAACAAGTTTTGTGTTCAAAAGTTTTAAACACGGAGGAAATAATGGGCATTGCAACAAAAATTGTGAATTCCATCCGTACACGTAGCTTGCAACGGCGGCTCTTTCAGTTGCAGTTGAAAGATAGGGAGTCAGCTGAACACACTGATTTAGTTCTTCACACGGACGTCAGGTGGTTGAGTCGCGGAAAATTCCTACCTAAAAAGGTTTCAAGAATGATTGCCCGAAATAACAGCTTTTCTAGACGAAAAAGGTGATGACACTCAGATTTTGAAAAACGAAAAATGGCTAAACGATTTTGCATTTTTGACTGACATCACAATGCACTTAAACACCGTTAACTTGGAGCTTCAAGGTAAAGGAAAAACTATTATTGAGATGATTAGCTCAGTAAACAGATTCAAAAGTAAATTGCAACTTATGATAGATCAACTGAAAGAAAGAATTTGAAACATTTTCCATCTTTGAAAGCAAGGATTTCTCAGTTGAATTATGATACGTATGAGGCTAAATTATCAAATAATTTGGGACAATTCGAATAGCGTTTTTATGATTGCAGTAAATTGGAAAATATAGCATCATTTATGAGTTATCCTTTTTCATGTTAAAACATTGAGGAATTAGCTACTGAAATAGCAAGTCAGTTTAATATGAACTCATGTTCTGTTGTTGGTGCAGATTATATCAGATATACATCTTAAAGCTACAGTATCTGATACAAATTTCTGGCGTTTTGTATCTGAAGATAAATATCCGAATGTAAGGCAAATCGCCCTTCAACTGACGGCATTTTTTTGGTCAACTTACAACTTACTTGTGCGAAGTCAAAATATCGCAATCGACTAACTGACGATTATATAACATCAGGCTTGCGATTAGCACTCAGTGGTTACGTACCATCTTATGAAAAGTACGCTGAGGACATGCAGTGCCACGCTTCAACATCCAAAGCTACTCCTTAGTTAAGTTTAATACCATATGTAATTTTTTTGTTTTGTAACAACAAATAAACTCGTAATTTTAAATAACTATGAGTTTTTTCATTGATATTGTAGAGAAGAACCTAACTAAACCTAACCCAAACCTTGACTAAAATAATGTACCTGTATTGTGCAGAAAGCTAATATCTATATCTGCTACGGTACGCCCTACCTAGGTATCGTGTATGTACGACAACCCTGCATCACACACACTTGCAGTCTCACTTGCAGAGTCGATCGTAAGTAGTCTAAAAAGATTGAGGTAGATCTCCAGCAGTTCAAGTTTGAGCACCCCTGCACTAGAGGGTCGTTCAAAAAATTTAAGCATTTCCTTATTAGGTGTGTCTTTACTCGCTATCTTTCGTTAATTTAAATACATATTAGTAAAATAATTATTTACAGGTAACAAACAATAATATTATGTTTATAACATAGTTTGCAAAATAAGTAATAGCTATTGGGGGTTACTTATTTATTATTTGGAGAAATATATTGGTATAAAAAATACTAACCATATTTGCAATCCGAAGAGCGCCAAGACATAGAGCAAAAATACTTACAGCTAACTGATATAGCTCTAGAGGATTCATTGCATTGTTAAGCTGTTTAGTAAATCTGGAATATAATAGGTATATTAAAATCTTTTTTTAAGTTTGATAATATAAATGTTTTTCTTAAATAAGTGTAAAGCTAATAGTTCTAAGGGCATGAGTCATCAAAATGCAACATTATTGGATAATAATTCTACAATTCTACTCGGAGCACATTTTTCAAGAGGCCCTAAAAGATATTGATAAAAGCATCTCAATAAATGGAGTCAAGCTTAATAACCTGCGGTATGCAGATGATACAATAGTGTTTTCCAATACCATAGAAGGGCTGCAAAACTTAATGAACAAAATAACAGAAACAAGTAGAACCTATGGACTGGATATAAACACCAGCAAAACCAAACTAATGATCATCAGCAAGCAAAACATAACTGAAGCAAATCTGTATGTGAACCAAATGAGAATTGAACGTGTCTCGCAATACAATTACTTGGGAACTATAATCAATGAGTCGTGGGACAATACCCAAGAGATTAAATGTAGCATCGGAAAGGCCAAAAAAGCATTCTTGGCTATGAGCTCGCTGTTCAAAAGCGATGACCTCACCCTGAAAACAAAAATAAGGCTCCTTAAATGTTACGTATACTCAGTGCTTCTGTACGGAGTAGAAACGTAGACATTGAAGGCGGAAACTCTATCAAAACTTCAGGCGTTTGAATTATGGTTATACAGAAGAATCCTGAAGATACCATGGACAGACAAAGTCACCAATAAAGAAGTACTGCGGAGGATGAACACAACCGCGGATTTGGTCAACATTGTGAAGAGCCGTAAGCTGGAGTACTTGGGACATATTATGAGAAATCAAAGCAGATACGAGCTACTCCAATGCATTTTGCAGGGTAAAATTGAAGGAAAAAGAGCCCCAGGACGAAGAAAAATATCCTGGCTTGCTAACCTGAGAGCATGGTGTAGAAAGACCTCAATACAGCTATTTCGTATAGCAACTAACAAAATCATCATAGCCAGAATGATCGCCAACGTTCGGAACGGACAGGCACCCCAAGAAGAAGAAGAATTCTACAAAAAGCAAAAATTATCAAATACTTCATCCATTTAGGTAGTTAATTCACTGATGAATATACAGAGTGAATTGTAATTGTCAATCAGGTACAGAAACGCTGGTCTATTATACTCTAATGATTTCTCAGTAATTTGCCTTTATGACGAATATTTCATCTGTACACTATCCTCCAATACGAAAACCCTGTTGTTCACCTTCTAAACTTATCCTCTTATTCATTAACTCTTGTAAAATTTTAGTTGTAAGTATAAAAGTAGTATTCAACAAGTATTCTCGAAAGCTTCAACAAAAATGAAACACATAAGTAACAGCGTTTGTACTAATTTAAGGGTTTTTACCCAAATATTTAGTGGCTTGACTCATGTACACCTAGTTGGTATTTAACCACATGGCTCTTTCAACCTTCAGTCAAAATTTAACCTTTACATTGGCATTTACCAAAGTGGGAATACTTATTCCAGAAAATACACTGATGATAGACTTTTTAAATTGATTGTTAAATATCACTTTTGTGATTCATGGTATACAGCTAACGAAAGGAATTTAATTTTTCTTATAAATTTAATTAGCTACAGCCCACTAACAACAAACAAATCAAACAACAAGAGTTTTACTTGCTGAAAGTGTTTCGCTCGAGCATCAGAAAGCGCTTACCCAAGCAGGACGAGCAAGAGAGCGAATAAAATGTACTGTGTCTATGAACAAAAATATTTTTTGCTTGTATTACAAGCTGGCAGACGTTATGTTACAAAAAATTCGTGAGCAGAGAAAATATGCTTCACGTGCTTTATCGATTTTGAAAAAGTACTAGTAAAGTAAACATGAAAAAAAATTTAAGTTACTGAAAATAATTTAGCATATTGACAAGAAAGCAAAACCAAGCTTAATGCTAATAAAGAATATAAAAGTGCCAAAAACATGATGTATTCAAATATATCTATTATGTATATTGTGTATATTTTGTGTAACGCTAAACCTACCTTAAAATAAGTTGATGGTGTCTAACACACCTAACAAAATATTCCTTTCTTTCGTCAGTATATTTATTCTCTAAACCATCACTCGTAATTTTTCTTAATTTCTTGTTAGTAGCATACATTTCAGGAGTATTAAAGATTTCGAAGCATTCTTGAAGAATACAGTACTGACTGCTTATATTCAATAGTGTACCAAGAACCAAAAAGTTGGCTCCAGTACCAATAAATGATATAGTTATTCCATGAGCAAATGCCTGTATACAGTAAATAATTTCATACCAGGGACTAACTGTCCAGTCAAAGGGATATGAAACGACGTATGGGAGTCCTCTATTGGAAAACAATGACGGTATTAAGAACATTGAAGCATACAGAAAGCCTACAAAAACATATTAAAAAAAATGGTTATTAAGTGAAATATTAGGTTAATAAATTAAAAAGACACTTTCAGTCATAGTAGGAACCCTATTGATAATAATTCAGCAGACTAGCATAGAAAAAAAAACATGTATCGAACAAATGAACGGAGTATTAGGTAGATTACCAAAAATACAATAATATAAAACACTTTCGTATAAAGACTTTCGTAAGACTTTCGTAGAAATTTTTTATGAACAAGTCAAACAACTTAAGTACAATACACAATAAAGGAAAAAATTACTATGATAATGGGTAACTGGAGGTCATCACAGGATAATGAACTAAATCTGATCGACTTTATTCTAACCAATCTAAGATTCAGAAATTGTGTTATAAGCGTTAAGACTTTTTCAGGAGCAGATATCCTATCAGATCATAACCTTCTTGCCTCAAAAATAAAACTGAGGGTAAAAAAAAATAATAAAATCCAATGTGAATAATCAGTTACTCAAGATAAATGAAATCCGTGCTAAGGCTTCAACTTGTATCAATTAAGAAATGAAGAAATTTACATCAGAAATGAAAATCACTGAGAATATGAACAATATATGGAGCAAAACCAAAGATTTTGTTATAAAAACACAGAAAGAAACTCTACAAACAAAAATAGAAAGCCGAAAAACTTGGATGGCACAAGAAATACTGGAAATTGTGGAACAAAGAAGAAAATATAGAAACAAAAACCCAAAAAAGTGCAAGGACAAACATAAATTAATAAGGAATAAAATAAAAGAGATTAAAGAAAAGTGGATGATGGAAACATGCATCGAAGTGAAAAAATTGCAGAAAAAACATGATCATTATAATTTACATAAAAAAGTGAAAGAATTTTCTGGAAAATAACGAACAAATACACCTAACCGATTAATTAACAAAAACAATAAACCTACCAATAATCCAATTGAAATAAAACAAGTATGGACTTAAAGATCTTTTCATGGACACAAGAACGGTTTCACAACTCTTGCAAAAAAAATGTCGAGACCAACAAAAAGATCTTTTCGTTGCGTTTATAGACTATTTGAGATCTTTCGACAAACTTAAACATAACATTCTCATGAAATGTCTAAACAGAAAACGATTCAACAAAAATGGCATTAACATATTATGGTAACATGTGGTAACATTAGATGGAAACAGAACGGATGTGCAACAGATAAGTAGAGGAGTGAGACAGGGCTGCGTACTTTCACCATTACTATTTAATATAAATTCCGAAGAGTTGTATACGCAAGCAGTTGAAAACTTTACAGAAGGAATCAAGATATATGGTGAAAATATAAATAACATCCATTATGCTGACGATACGTGGTCTATCATGGGCTGCTTTTGGTAAGTTGAGCTTCATTTTAAAAGACAGAAAAATCCCAATTCACTTAAAACGAAAAACCTATGACACTTGTAACTACCAGTTGCAACTTATGGATTGGAAACTATGGCAATAACAAGAAAAATGGCAGAACAATTGGCGTAACTCAACGGACCATGGAGAGGGCCATGTAAAATAAAAGCCTCAGAGACAAAATTCCTAACACCGAAATACGTCGAAGAACTAAAGTAACCGACATCATGGGAAAAATAGCGACATTGAGATGGCAATGGGTAGCACATGTAGCAAGACAAGACACCAACAGATGGTCTCATAAAGTGACATTATGGAGACCTCGAGAAACAAAAAGAAGCGTGGGAAGACCTAAAAAGAGATGGATAGACGATATAATTGCTGTAGTTGGAAAGTAGTGGATGAGAATTGCAAAAGATAGGGAAGCGTGGAAGCAATTGGAGGAGGCCTATGTCCAACATTGGATAAATAAAGGCTGAAGAAGAAGAAGAAGAAGAAGATGCTGACGATGCAGTCATTATCGCTGAAAGTGAGACAGACCTGCAGACGTTACTAAACAGGGGCAAAGTCATTACAAGGATTCAGATAAAAAATGAAGATATTGAGGAAGTGGACAAAATAAAACATTTAGGAGTCTGGATTACGCAAGATCTGAATCCGAAATCAGAAATTTGCTAAATAAGGAGATTATATAACTAACCTACAATACGCTAATCAACACAACTAAGACTGTTTTGATATTAAGAGATGGTATGTGACAAAACAAACCAGAGATTTTATAAAAGACTGGAAAGGATTTCTAAAACATGAAACATATTATATTCAACTAAATAAACTAAATCTGTAAGAGAATTCAACCCATGTCTACCTATGTATTATTAATATGAATATTATATATAAAATTAATTAAAACAATCTTACCAGCACAAAAGAACCACCATACCAATCCATTCATTAATCGGTACATATCTTTAATCTTTCTTTTGCTTTCTAAATTAATTAAATCATATGGCCAAAAGTCTGTTAATATTATATGGAATACAGACTTAAGTTCATCTGACTTGTACCATAAAATAACAACTTTATACATACCCTAAAAATAAATGAAATAATAAAAGATGAAAAATCTTGTACAGTGTCAAATCATAGGTCAGTCTGAATAAAAAAGTATCTTATATATACATATAAGTATGTAATAATTGAAATTAAAAATAGGGCCTTCAAGATGGTTCGGGAATTAAAAATGAGACCTTAATTTCTTTTGTGCCCTAAATAGACCAGGAAATAAGATTTTTTTCGTGACACTGACCCGGCGAGGCAAACGACTTGTTTTGTGTAGTATTGACCTCGATCCCCAATGCGATCAAACGCAGTGAAATATTTAGCGATGGAACACGTATTTATAACCTTGACAAAACGGCTACACTGACTGTACAGAAATCCTCGAAATTTTAGCTGACAAAGGAGTAAGGCAAGTCGATAAAGTGACGAGTGGAGAACAAGGCATGCTTGTAACATGTGCAATTGTAAGATCTGCAGGAAATTATTTACCACCTGCGATGATTTTTCCACTCGTTTATTTTAAGGAACACATGATTGCTGGTACTTTAGGACTTGCGTCTCCATCCGGGTAGATGAATTCTGAGCTATTTTTAAAAGTAATGGAACACTTCATTCTACACACCTCTAATTCAAAGCAAAATCCAAATCTTTGGCTTTATGACAATCACGAGAGTCACTATTTTTGGAAAGGAAAGGAAAATGGCGTTACTATTTTTACTTTTCCACCACATTTAACCAATAAGCTACAGCCTTTGATATTTTCAAGCCTTTTAGCTTGGCTTATAATGCTGCTATAGTTATCTGGCTAATGCATCCTCCTGGAAAGCCAGTTAATATTTATGAAGTTGCTGGTTGTGTGGGCGAAGCGTACCAGTAGGCAATGACTCCAGAAAATATTACCTCAGCCTTTAAAAAATAGATCCATTAAAGAATATATCCATTCGACAGGGAAATATTCAAAGACATTAACTTTTTGCAATGCACCGTAATCGATATACGTCAGTTGAAAATGGGTAACCAAACCCCCCATCGCGATCCAGTTCACGAAGAAGCTGGAGAAAAAAATAGATTTATAACTCCGGAAGAGTTTCGTAGATCCTAAGGCTGAACCTAGAAAAAAAAACATCTAAAAGTCGAAAAAAGGGAAAAAGTATGATAGCTACTAAAACTCCAGAGAAACTTGAGCTGGAAGAAAGGCAGAATAAAAAGAAAAATATATAGGGGCAATAAATTTGCAGAATGTAAAAAGTGCTTAGAATGGCATTTCGATGCATCATCTGAACATTTTGAACCGGAAGTAGACCCAACAGTTTTTAGAGATTTATTAAGAACTCCTAAGGTCGGTGATTATGTTCTGGTAGAATTTAAACCAGAAAACATTAAATCAAAACCAGTTTACTATTTCGGAAAACTACTTTCTTGTGTGACAGATGCAAATATGGTGAATGTCACTTTTATGAGGAAAAGTGAGAAGATTTACTCTACATTTTATTTTTTCACAGCTTCAGATATTGCCACAATTTCAGTAAGACATTAAGATGATATTGCAAAAAAACACCTTTGTGGCTCAGTGGTAAGAGCGCCTACCTTTAAACCTAAAGGTCGTGAGTTCGAATCTCACCTGGGTGGAAATTTTCGTTTATTAAAAAAAATTAATAAATGAAAATAATTTCTATCCTTGTGTGATCGGTACTCACCGGAGGGATCGCAGACGTTCAGATACAATTAGCGTCTCTTGGCAAAGACAATGACGTCGACTTTACTAAGTATCAAGACAATTACTCCACACACACAGACACACACATACACTACATTAATAAACTTATCTTGATTGAAACTGCCTGAATGACAATTGTCCAAGCCAAAACACACAAAAAAAAATAAAAAAAATAAATAAAAAAAAAGATATTGCAAAGGCCAGTTTGTTATGGCCATTCTAAACTACAAAATTAATTTTTCTCGTTCTAGATAAATTTTTATTTAATAAATGTAGGTTAATTCCGATTACTATTTTTTTAATAAATAAGTATTTTGTAACTTAATTTTGTTTTTTATTTGTTTTTTTTATATAAATAAAAATTTGGAACTTAATTTTTTTGTGTTTTCCTTTATATAAATATTATGCTGTCTAACTGTTACCCATGCATGAGTCCTTCTCTTCAATCCTGGCCCCCCAGGGGGAGTGTAGTGGTCGACGTGATGTCGTGTATTGTCCGTCTCCAGAGATCTCTGTCTCTGGTCATTTTTTTTAATTCATGCATAGGTCTTTGGCATATTCCTGTAATTTTATCTATCCATCTTGTTGGAAATCTTCCTCGTGATCTTCGGCCTTCTACCTATCCTTGTATTATGAGTCTTTCCATGTTTTCTGTGTTTGCTCTCATAACATGCCCAAAATATTTAAATTGTTGGAGATGGACTTTACTAGAGAGTCATTGGCTAACTTTTAGCTCACTTAAAATTGAATTATTTGTTCTACGGTCGGTCCAAGGAATTCGTTACATTCGTCTCCAACAGAACATTTCAGTGGCGTCTATCTTTCTTCTCTCCGATTGTCTCAGAGTCCAAGATTCACATCCGTAGGTCAGTATTGGGAATATTAAGCAGTTGATCAACCTCATCTTTATTGCTCTTGAAATTTGACAGTCCTTCCATATTTTGGTTATTTTTGCTGTGGCAACTTTTGCTAGAATACATCTACGTTAAATCTCTTCTTGTAATGACCCTGTGTTTGTGAATAATAATCCCAGATATAAGTATGAGCTCACAACCTCGAACCGGTCAATTGTGGTTATGTGTGGATGATTGTTGTGTAGTCTATCCACTATCATGATCTTTGTCTTTGATATGTTTAAATGCAGACCAAATATTTGACTTTCGTTTTCTATCAGTCGCATAAGTTCCATCAGCTCTGCTTGACTATTTGCAAGAAGGGCTGTGTCATCTGCGAAACGTAGGTTGTTTAGTTTATGACCATTTATTGAGATGCCCTTTTCTCATCCTTCAAGTGCCCTTCGCATAATATACTCCCCATATATGTTGAATAATTGTGGAGATAGTATACATCCTTGTCTGACACCCCGTTCTGGATGAAACTCGTTCGAAAGTGTGTCAAGTACTTTAACTGATCCAGTAGTGTGTTCATATAGTTCGGTTATAAGCGTAATTAGATGTTGTGGTACGCCTACTTCTTTTAGTATTCGCCATAAGTGCCTCCACTTGACCCTGTCGAACGCTTTACGGTAATCTATAAAACAGATGTATAGTGGGATGTTGAATTCCCTAGATTTCTCGATTATCTGTCTTATTTTCAGCAGGTGTTCTCGAGTGCCTCTACCTTTGGTAAATCCAGTTTGCTCTCGTGGAATTTCTCTTTGAAGGAATGTTTTCAGTCTTTCATTGATTATATTTAGCATTATCTTGCTGGCATGGGATATAAGAGAGATAGTTCTATAATTGTCTATAATGCATGGGTAACATGAGACAAATGACAACTTAACTGTATATGTTAAATACAAACTTAAGAAACCAAGCAATTTTTAAATTTGAACGCATGTTAGAGTACAATCCTAATAAAGTTTTGTTTATATATGTTACAGTAGTCTACTTATGGTTAAATGAAAAAAAGTGTCTCACTGTTACCCAGTTTTCCCTATACCACGATTTGTTATAGAATTATGTTTTCCCCGTTATTTTTAATCTTCCTGATGTAAATCTGGAGAATGTTTGGTTTTATCAAGAGGGTTGTTCAGTTTACAACGCTTGAATAATTAATTAATACTAAAACAATACTTTCCCAAATCGAGTTATTAGTGAAACAGGCGATATTAAGTAGCCTGCGTGATCTTAAGATCCAACACTCATGGACTTTTTTTGGGGAGATTTAAAAATTATCATCTACGATCAAAATTTGGATGAATTAAAAAATCGAATAAGAGAAGTCTCCAATTCTGAAACAGCAGAAACTCTTTCATCTGCCCGCAGAAATTTTTATGAGATTCCTATACTGTTCAGCCGTAGAAGGTCAAATATATAAATAATTTCTGTAGGGCATAAAGAATTATTTCTTACTTAATTATAGTAAAATTCATAAAGTGATGTAGGGAGATGTAAACATTAAATCGTGTCCGAACCTGTATGAGCTGCCGACAACGTCGGCTGACGAAATAACGATAGATATTTCGGTTAGTTTTTAAATATTTTTGAAGAATTGTTACTTGCATTTATGCATAAAATATTCGTTAATTTTATAAATCGGATTATTTTTTACTTACTATGTATTCAGTGATAACAATAATTTATTTACTATGCAATAAACATGAATATTTGAGAAAAGAAAAAAAAATAATAAAGTGTCATAATTATACTGTTACTTATCGGAACAAGTAGACTCATTTGGAAAATCTTTAACAATTATCTGTTAAATTTATCGTTGCTTATATGCCCTGCATCACTTAATGAAATAAACTATAGGAATATTTTTTTTTAATTAATCATCATGTCATGTGTTTGTCTTTTTAAAGACGAATTACATGCTATGATTTTTTCTGACGGATATTCTCAAGTTAAAGTTGATTCCATGTAATCAAATGAACTATCTTATAAGTAAAGTCGTGCCAGGAGCGCAACTCAACAATATTGGCAATATTTTAAAGTCGTCTACTTTAAAATGTATAATGTATGTCTGAATTGTCAATATAAATGAGTCAGATAAAATTAAATTATTAGAAGAATTTTTTCACTATGTAACAAAAAACAAAATTTGTGTAATTTACTGTTTGTATTTTGAGAACGATTTCCGAATTGGAAATTGAAACGTCAATAAACGTATTTTTATCTTTAATTGTGGCTTATTCCCAGTTATAAATAGTAATTAATTTACAATGCCACAAGAAAATAGCTTCAGAACAATATTAACGATTTCTGTTAAACTCCTTCTTTATATAGAGAGTTTATTTCGAAGCGATTTCGAAATAAAAATTGTCCTAACTCATTAAATACCTTATACAGTATAGTCAAACCTTATATAGT